TGAGAAACCAGAAGTCTACATAAAATTCCAAAACCTGCAACACAATTTGAAAGAAAAAAACTGCAAAAGTCAAGGAGAGTATCTGCGGATGTTGCAAATGATCCATTCTAAGACAAAAGCCTCTTGAGCTCTCTCTACATTTTGAAAGTTTGAAAATACTAAGTAGACTCCTCCAGCCAAGTTAATTCCTGCACATCAGCTGTAAATGTCAGCAAACACACCTTGCTTGGGATCCCACACCAGGGATGATGAGAACTCAGGCTACAGGGGCAGAGCCGTGTCCTGGGGAGGCTCAGTCACACTGAGAAGTGGGAATCTTCTGAGACAAGGGGAGCGTCTGGCCTGGAGGGTACATGACCTTATTTGTTTTTTAGTTTTTGATTGCTTTGTGACAAATTACTACACATTTAGTGGCTTAAAGCAATACTCACTTATTAGTTCACAGTTCTGTAGGTCAGAAGTCCAGCAGGATATGTCTGGGTTCTCTGCTCAGACTGAAGTCAAAGTGTCAGCCACTGTGCTCTCATCTGGGGCTTGGGGTCTCCTTCCAAGGTTATTCTTGTGATTGACAGAATTCATTTCCTTTTGGCTGTGGGACTGAAGTCCCTGTTTCCTCTCTGGCTGTTAGCTGGGACCGCTCTCAGCTCCTGGAGGCTGCCCACATTCCTCCTGTGGCCTCCATATTTAAGCCAGCAACAGTGCATCAGATCCTTCTCTGACTTCTGGCCAGGTGCGGTGACTCACGCCTGTAATCCCAGCACTTTGGGAGACCAAGGTGGGATGATCACCTGTGGTCAGGAGTTCAAGACCAGACTGGTCAACATGGTGAAACCCCGTTTCTACTTAAAAATACAAAAGTTAGCCAGGCATGGTGGCAAACGCCTGTAATCCCAGATATTTGGGAGGCCGAGGCAGGAGAATCATATGAACCCGGGAGGCAGAGGTTGCAGTGAGCTGAGATTGTGTCACTGCACTCCAGCCTGGGCAATGGAGCAAGACTCTGTCTCAAAAAAAAAAAAAAAAAAAGAATTCTCCGACTTCTGCTGCTACTGGCAGCCAAAGTAAACTCTGCTTTTAAAGGGTTCACCTGGCTGGGTCAGGCCCACTGGAATAACTTCTATATCTTAAGGTCAACTGACTTGGGACTTTACGTCTGCAAAATCCCCTCACAGCAGTACCTAGGTTAGTGTTTGGTGAGTAATCTGGGAATCTTGGGAGTCATCTTTGGAATCCTTCCCTCCATGGTTTTAGAAAGGTCAGTCTGGCCATAGTGTGGATAACATATTGGGAGGGACAAGACAGACAGCAAGGGGGATCTACTAAAAGCTGTGGCAATCATCCTGAAAGACAGAGGAATGGGCTTTGGATGAGTGAGAAATGATTTAGACACAGCATAAAGACTTCTTGCTGACTGATGGGAGGGAGGGGAGGGAGAGTCAAGGTGGACTCCCAGGTTTTGCCTCAAACAACTGAGTAAGTGAAGTTGCCATCCAAAAAGATACTATGGATAAACAGGTTTTGGAGTGGAAGATAATGAATTATTCCTCTTCATGTTGAGTTTGAAAGGAAGACAACCAAATGGATGATAAAAATGGGGGATCACTGGTTAACGCAGGGGTTCTCCAATGGAGTGATTTGGCTCCACAGAGGACACTTGGCCATGTCTGAAGACATTTTTGGTTGCCATAATAGTGGAGGCGTTATCCACATTGAGCAGGTAGAAAGCAGGAGTAAAAAATCCCACAACACACAGGACAGCAAAGGTTTTGCTGCCAAATGTCAATAGTGCTGAGGCTGACAAACCCTGAGTCAGAGGCCAGAAATTCAAGCCACAGGAGTGAAGAAGAGGGCCCAGAACGGAGCCCTGCAGAACCCCAGCCTCAGAGCAAGGGAAGCCAGCCCGGAGCCTGAGAAGAAGCCAGAGAAGGGGAGGCCAACCAGATGCACAGTGCTGAAAAGCAGGCAGAGAAAGAGGTGTTGATTCTGGCAGGTGTCAAGAGCTGCTGCAACTCAAGCAAAATGAGGAGTAAAAAACCATCATTGGATTTAGGGTGACCGAGGCCACCGGAGGCTGTGCCTGAACAGTTTCAGTTGAGTCATGGGAGCGGACGGCTGTCTGCACTGAGTGAAGAGTGCACTCTTGAGAGAGGAGGTTGGGGCAGCAGCCACCGGAGACCAGGCTTCTGAAGACCCGGAGACACCTCAAAAGGGATGTGGGCTGAAGGGATTTGTTGCCATGGAGAGAACTGAGATCTGCAAATGCTGATGGGAAGGAGAAGAGAGAGGAGGAGATCACAGAGTGAGGCACCTGAGAAAAGTGTAAGAACAGAACTAAGGGCACAATGTCTCTTCCAGGCCCTGCCAGCAAGTGCCCCCTAAGTGCTGCATCCCACGTGTGCACCTGAGTCCCAGTCCTGCCCAGGAGAGACTAGCCTGATGATGGAGAAGGAGAAGAGGTGCCCCCAGCAACAGGTGTAGGTGCAGCTGCAGGTGGACTTGGCAGTTTGAAAGGTGGAATGCTGGGGAGACTTATCCTCCATGTAAGCAGCAGGGATCACTTTTGAAAATAAAGGAGAAAGAAATGGATCAGAGGCTTGAGGCGGGTGTGGAGGGCTGTTCTGTTTAGAGAACCCCAGCAGGACTCTCAGGCAGGGCACAGTCTTTTTCCTTGTTATTTCTTTCCCGAGATTTTTTTTTCTCTTGGAAAATTCTCATCAAAGTTCCATGCAAGACCATTTAAGGGTTAACACATTTTCCTCCAAAATGACTGCAGTCCCTCTACTGAAATTCATTTTATGAGTCCAGTCTGTTGAAAGATAAGGAAACCATTACAGTGGAGATGGAAGATGGAAATTAGGCTGAGAGAGCAAAGAAGGGTGAAAAAGATATGGACATATATATCCATGGCACAAATTTTAATGATTTCTGTAAAGTATAATTGAGGGAAATTACAGGAAGTTTCATTTGATTTTCTTAGAGGTCCTGAAACTCACGAGTGTTACAGAGTTATAGTATTTACAGAAAGAAAGGCTATTAAAATTCAAGAGAATTTGGAAGGAACTGACGTCCTTTTTTAAAATTCCTTTACATTGCAAAAGATGACCTAAGCTATTCTTTAAAATTCAACATCTCTGATTTTATTCTCACAGTAGTGCAGTTAACTGCAGATAACATTAGTTCTTCCTATCAAATCATTGTGTTATTCCACCAAGGTTGTGTGATGGGGATGAGGGGGAGGGCGGCTTCGTAAAAGGCACCTGGGACTCCCACTACTAGCATTCCTTTGAGAAAAATTAGAAATCTTTAGGAAAAGGGGAAGGAAAAAGGGGGCAGAGTCCAGCCGAAGAGCCGACCTCAAAGAACCATTTCGGGGTATTTCTTTTCTCTTCACTGCTTGGGAACTGCCTTCAGTTCACCCACCACTTCCGAAGTGGCTTCACTTCTAAGGGGAGAGGCCAACGTCCCAACAGAGGGTCTCTCACTTCTGTCCGCCATTTGTTAAATGGCTCCATAAATTAGTTGTTTTACATAAAATTTGGAACTACGATCTGGGAGGCCTAGGGGCTGCACCTCCAGTAAGTCGCTGACTCAACCTGGGCCCTTTAACCCCCAAACCCAAACTCTTTCCTGGATGGATCGAACCGCTGGCCCCAACCTAAAAGCCTCCTCCACCTCCAAAAGTCAGGAAGGGTTGGTCCTTTTGTTTTTCAAATGAATTGAAATTAGATCCACAGCCCCGCGTAACGCTGGGGAATACCCAGGGAGAGGCCAGCTTCCAGGAGGTCAGCCCCAACACCGCGGGCAGGAATTTGGAGGGATGCGGAGGTCTCCTCATCTCTGAGCCTTGAGCACCAGGCCTGAATTTTCTCCTCTTTCTCACAGGTGCCCGACTCCGAGTCCGGGAGGCGGGCGCTCTTCCCAGGTACTCAGCCCAGCGCGGCGCGTCAGCCTGGGTCCATCCTCCGCCACCCTACAGCGCGGGGAGCAGGGGAGGCCGAGAGCCGAGCAGCGTGGGGGGACAGGAGAACCCGGGCTGCAGCATCCCCCGGAGGCAGCAGGACAGGACGGCTGGCGTCCGACGCATTGCAGAGACGTCCCTGTTTTCGGCTTGTCCCCCGACAGCCGGCAGAGAGCTTGACTCCCTCCGCACTGCGCTCCAGAGACCACAGCGCGGAGAAACCTTGCGGGGCCCCGGACTCCCAGGCTTGTGAAAAGCGATGACTGCCCTGGACGACTGCGGCGTCCGAGATTTCCAGGGTCCCGACCCTCCCCGGGGTACGCGCGACTTCGGCGCAGATGTCAGTCCACTGCCTTCGCGCGTTGAGGGCGCGAGGACTCCGGACGACCCCAGGGCTACTGTCCACGCCCAGCCCCTCGTTCTCCACCGTGCCACCTCCCTCTGCGGCTCTAGCCTGGAGATCTACGGACTTCATTGCGATCTCTTGAGCAGTGTAGTTGCCCTCTACCCTAGCCCCGAGTCCCGGGTAACCCAGGGGCCCCGGCGAGGCGAGTTTCGTTGGGGGAAGATGTCCCCAGGCGAGAAAAGGGGCCGCGCATTGGACGGGGCTCCCAAGCCAGAGCCCTGGGGGCCTTGAGGAGTCGTGGTACCGTCTAGGAAAGTCGGGGCTGCAGGGCCCATGAAATCAGACGAGGCTACGGACTTAGGGTCCCTGCAACCAAGACTGCGAGCGACTGTGGACTCGGGACGGATCGCACAAAGGAGGAAGAGGGAATCAGAGGGGCGTCCGGTCGGGGACGTGTCAGGCCTGGGCGGGGCAGAAAACTGACACCGGGGCGAGGACAAGAATTTCGCTCCTCCAGGGCTGCCAGGGGAGGGGCTCGCCACCGTCACTCTCCTTGGGCTCTGGCCCCGACGGTGTTTAAAGGGCGGAGGGCTGGGCCGGGCTGGTCGCACCCCGGGGCTGCTGGTGGCCAAGCTGGATGGGTCGCCCATGAGCCTCGGTGCGGCACCGCTGGCCCAGACCCGGGCGCGGCTGGACATGACCACCTACTGCAAAGACCTGGGCCCCTCCTCGGCCCCGCCCGGCCAGGCCCGGGCCACCGCGCATCCCCCGGGCTATGAGCATAGTGATCTGGGCGCAGTGGGCGGGGGCCCGCGCTTGTGGGTGAATGCGCCAGCGCTCAGATCCAAGTCCTACGCTTCAGGTCCCGGGCCCGTGCCGCCCTACGCGGCCCCCGGCTACGGGGCTCCCGGCCCGCTCCTTGGCGCCCCGGGTGGCCTGGCGGGCGCCGACCTGTCCTGGCTGAGCCTCTCCGGCCAGCAGGAGCTGCTGAGGCTGGTGCGGCCGCCCTATTCCTACTCGGCGCTCATCGCCATGGCCATCCAGAGCGCGCCCCTGCGGAGGCTGACTCTCAGCCAGATCTACCAGTACGTGGCTGGCAACTTCCCTTTCTACAAGCGCAGCAAGGCGGGCTGGCAGAACTCCATCCGCCACAACCTGTCGCTCAACGACTGCTTCAAGAAGGTGCCCCGCGACGAGGACGACCCAGGTAACAGCGGCGCGCCGGCTCGCTCCGTCTAGGACCCCCGGTCTTTCCGCCGTGCTGCGCGCACTCGGCGGGTGGCAGCGACCTCGGACAACCTAATTCCTCCCTGCGCGTTGGGGATACCCGGGGGAGAGAGAGAAGGGGGAGATGTGCTTAGCCATGAACAAGTTCTCAGACAGCGGCAGTGCCCACAGGCCCGCGTTTACAGTGCGGCGGTCCCGGGGCTCTCAATCTCTGTGCGCTCCTTCGGAGGCAGAAGCGGGAGAGCCAGCACGCTGGGTGACCTTGGGAGTGACTCAACTTACCTGGGCCTCAGTGCCCTACCCGGTAAAGTGGGGAAGACAGCGCCTACCCCAAGGATAGGCAAAACAAATAGGATGCCCATTTGGAAAGCTCTGGAGCCTCCCTGGGGGCCCGGTGTGGTCTGCGATGTCCTTGGCAGAGCGGCTGGAATCCCACGGTGCGCATCCCGCAGGCCTTCCTTCACCTTAGCGGGTCTCGGGCCTTTCCCAAGGCTCCCTTCCTCCTCCTTTCTGGATTGCCACTTTCTTCGCAGTCCGGCTGTGGAGGTCCATTGGATACACAGTGTCCGTCAAGGGTGGGATGGGGGCGAGGGCTCAGACCCTCTGCAAGGGCCAGCGGGGGATCTTTCTGAAGCTGACCTCCTCGCTCGCTCACACCACGGGTCCGTCAAAGCTCGAACTTTCTGAACTGGGCTGTTTCTTCTTCTGCAGGTAAAGGCAATTACTGGACCCTGGACCCCAACTGCGAGAAGATGTTTGACAACGGGAACTTCCGAAGGAAGAGGAAGAGGAGAGCTGAAGCCAGCGCGGGCTCGCCCTCGGGAGCCAGGAGCGAGGGAGGGGCCGAGGCGCCCGCGCTGGAGCCCCCGGGCGCGGCTTGCCCGGACCTGCAGGCTTCGCCCTCTCCATCCTCACCCGAGGCCGCCACCTGCTTCTCTGGTTTCGCCTCCGCTATGAACGCATTGGCGGGCGGCCTTGGCACCTTCCCCGGGGGCCTGGCGGGCGACTTTTCTTTCGGGAGGCCGCCTCCGACGGTGGCCGTCCACGCTTCCCAGACCCTTAGCCGCTCGCCTGACTTCGCCCCTGGCCACCAGACCGCGGCCACTGGCTTCCGCGTCAGTCACCTCCTCTACAGCCGGGAAGGGACCGAAGTTTGAAGGGACGCTGGAGGCTAGCCGGGTGCGGTGTCCAAAGGTGCTGAGCTCAGGCCTCCGGTTTCCCCTGGTGACAGCCCCACGTGTTGGCGCCGAAGGCCTGGGTGCCCTGGGAGGACGCGCAGAGCCGGGGGCGGCTTGGCTAGCAGGGAGCTGGGCTGAGCAGCTCTTGGGCCTCGGGGTGGGTGGCCGTCTGCTGTGCACCCCTCAGCCAGGCGACCTTCAGAGCTTCCCTGCTCTGCCTCTAAGTCGATCCCTCCTGGGCCTCCAGAACCTGTGCTCTTCAGGGATTTGCCTTGAAGGGGCGGCGCGGTTGGCGCTCAGCTCCAGCATTTCCCAAGCAGGCTGGCTGACTCCAAAGAGCCTTAGAGCAGGTGGGAGGAAAGTGGGCTGCCAGAACGGCCCGGGGGTGGGGGCCCTTTCCACCTCCACCCAGCTTGGGTCACCTGGCTCAGGGCCTTCCCTCCTGCTTCAGGGAGGCTGCTGCCGGGGCTGGAGGACAGAGCTCAGGAGCAGCCACAGTGGTGGGGTCCAGGTGGGCCAGGAGCCTGCAGTGAGGGGATCTGAGACTTTTGGGATTGGGTCCTGTGTAAGGAAGGTCTTGCTAAGGGCTGAAACTGCCGGTGGTGGGAGGGAGAAGGGCTGCCTGGGCAGAAAACGCCCTTGAGATACCAGCTCCCTCCCATGTCACACAGCTCTGGTCCTTGATGACCCCCCTGTAGGACAAGGCAACTCCCCAGGGCCCCGTCATCACTGACCACAGGAGCGGTGCCCAGCACCCAGGAGTTCCCCGAGGGTCTAGGTTTGTTTCACCCCATCCACACTCATGCTCACACAGGCTCATGAAAGGGCACACCTGTTTTGGTCTCTTTCCCCTCCAAACCCACAGTATGGGCCAAAGCTGCGCCTATGTTCAGAGCTCCTGAACAGCAGCTTGTGTAAATTGAACCCTACCCCACCCGGTTCCTTCTTAGACATGGTATCTTTGTGAAGCACAAGGAGCCCCCAGTCACTGGGAAGAGGAATTTTGGCCTCTGTACTCCTCAGAAGTCCTAGGTGCCCCATTCAGATGCCCTGAGTCGTTGTGGCATCTGGGACTCCCTGGAGATGGGCACGTTGGTCGGGGGGTATCCATCTTGTTGTTGATAGGGGGCACCCATCTTCCCTGTATTTTGGGGGAGGATGGAAGGGGGCCTTCCCAGGAAGAGAGTGGAGAGAGGATACTGTTAGTTTGGAGTAGGACAGCTGGTTTAGCAACCCTAAGCCCCAGCCACACAGGTGTTCCTAAGACACAGGTATTCCTAAGACACAGGTATTCCTAAGACACAGGTATTCCTAAGACACAGGTGTTCCTAAGACACAGGTGTTCCTAAGCTGCCCGCAGCGCCCCTCACTGCTGCTGCCACCAGTGCTGGAAATGAGAGCAGCGCACCTGTCTGTCCCTAGAGCTGACTCATCATGGCCCTGCTGAAGAGTGAGGGGTGTGTGCGTGTGTGTGTGTGTGTGTGTGTGTTTAAGACAGAGAGGGAGGGAGAAGAAGGGAGGCAGGGGAACATGGAGAGAAGGAGCCAGGAGTTGGGATAAACCTGGTGCCTGGTCATGTGTTTGATCAGCAGTGGCTCTTAACTCCGTGTGGCATCTATGCTGCTGCCCCCCACAGGCAGGTGAGCAGAGCGCCAGTTGTGTCAAAGGTGATGATGTTGGCTAACCAAACTCACAACCAACCCACAATCTCTCTTGAGGGGACACTCCCCATATGTAATACAGTTAAAGAAGGCCAGGAAAGGAAAAGAAATTCCTTAGCTTATACATTTTAAAAATTATATCTTGAACTTATTTTAATAGAATAAAATGCTAAAAATAAAGATCAATATACGTAGCTTGCATGTGTATGCTATTTTGTATAAGAATTCCACTGCTGTCACCAACATCCCCATTTCAGAGACTGAACTTGCAGAAAAATTGGAAAGAACATTTTCTAATTAATTTTGACAATAATCAAAAAATACAGTGGACAGCTGGACAATCAGTGAGCTTCAAGAAAACTGGCTGGCACGTATGGATGTAAACATGGAATGTCATGGCTGCATGACTCCTAGACGTTGGGAAGCCGCTTTTTTTTCTAACAATGGTTTTTATGCTAAAATTGGGAAAAAAATATTTAAGACTTTTCAACTTTTGGTTTGTTTGCCCAAAGATCATTTTTTACCGTTTGAAAGTTGCTCATTTATTCAAAGCTTTATACCATTAGTAGGTAATAATATAAGCAAATAGATGAAATCTTCATGAGAAAAGCTTGGTTAAAAATACTTCCAGCAGTGCAAGGTATTTGGACATGGGTGGGGTTAGATGCCAAAAAGAACCCATTCTCCCCTCCAAAACAGCCCACATGGCTGGATGTGTTTAGGAGATGGGAAGCCAGGCCAAAATGCATTTCATAGGCCCAGGCATGGCACAGTCAGCTTCAGACTCATTATCCCAAAGAAGCATTTTCTCATAGCAAAGAAACTGTTGAAATCAAAACAAGAAAACAGAGCAATGCAGCTTGTGGTCACTTTATGGTTAAATACTTTCTTCTGGCCAGGGCTTGGTGAACTTGACCACAGTCCCTAGAGCTCACTGCACGCAGGCAGCAGAAGGACCGGGTCCTGTTGGTCCGGCCAGGGCACTGCTGCCAGGAGGCTAGGAGGGTGCTCTGACCCCGGGGCTCTGAGTCCACTGTGGCACTCACACCCCATCTGCTCCCCTGCCCTGTCCCTTTTTTTTTCTTTTGCCTTTGGAATCATGAATCCTGCAGCCAATTCCAAAAGTAATTGTGAGACTTCAACAAAAGGAATACCTCAGCATCATGGCATAGACACATGGCAGCATGCTATTGGAATATCCAATTTTTAGTATGAACAACTTGGTGGCACTAAATAGTTTCAAATATAGGAGCAAGCTTCAAAATTCAGAAGTGAAAGACAATTAAAACATGCCAAAATATCGGGTGATTAGGAATTCTTTGCATTGCCAAGCAGCAGTGGAATTTCCTAGTGACTGAAAATCAGAGAGGATAATAATACAGGAAACTGTAATCTGCCCTAGAAACATTTGGTCACTGGGTAAATTATCCCCATACAAAGAAGAACCATTCATGAAGAAGATTCATTTGTTAGAAATGTTTTTTAAAGTGCCATAGTGTTTTAAAAGTGAACATTGGATTTCAAGATGGGGTGCCCATTTCACATATTGATTAAACACAGAGTGTGTTTATTTCTGATGAAAAAGTTTTGCATTTTAGCAATGCTGCCTTGGGATATTAATCAACCTTTAATCTTTAGTCTCCTAAAATGTATCCACTGGTCAAGTGACATTTTTCATTCAAAGAAATACCATTATAGTGATTATTAGAACTCTTCAGTGAAACAGAACGCTGAAGTTCATCCCCATTTTGCAGATAGAAAAGCCAAGTTAAGGGGCTAAATGATCTCCAGAAGCTAAACTGATGAGAGCTAAAAGGGACTCCAGATGTACCTGCAACCTTTACATGCCTCGTATTCAGAAATGCATCTACTGATGGACAAACACACCCAACCCCCCCCCACACACACACACCCCACCCACGGAGCCCCGTCTTGGGTAGGATTTTCACAGATGACACCAACCACCCTCCATACCTAAAGGCATAGTATTTTCAAATAACCCATTGAGTTCAGGATTTGACTCCAGGTAAGAGAGAAACATGTGAAACCACCATAGAATGCAATACAGGTTGAGTCACTTGTATCCTAATAAAATGTGACTTGTTCAATCTATCTCTTTTGAGTGTTAACTATGTGGTATTAAGTCATACAGTGAATAAGCTGAGCCTGTTGCTACCCTCACAGAGCCTCCATCCAGTGGTCGGAACAAAGATGAGGGAAGAATTACAGACTGGACATGGCTTTGTGGCTCTATAAGGATTACTTATAGATGATCAAGTCATCAACCATCTCACTTGTAAACGCAAGTATCATATTATGTCTTGTACGCAGACCCCAGTGTGTTCCACACCCTGCTAACTCAGGAAGCGTTTGATTTCTCCGTTTCATAACTTCACTGTGATTTTAGGCAGGGAGTTAAGCACTGCCCCGGGCTGGTGTAGGTCCCATCTGTTCACTTTTCCACAGTGTCATTTAGGAACCTTAAAACCTGTCCTCATATTAGAAGATCTGTCATTTGGCAGTGACAGGGGAGGCAATTAATGTGGCCAGAGTTGGCCGTTCCCCAGGGCTTCTGAGTGTGCAGTCCTTTGGTGCATCTCCCATCTATAGGGTAAAGTTTTTAGAGCTCTTTTTCTTTTAATCTAATTTGAATTTGCTAACCAACGTTATTCAGGGCTAACTGCTGGGTACTTGCAATAAACTGCTTTCTTTGGTCAGATTTCATCAGTGGCTGAACACAAAGAATGGAAAATATCTTTAGTTTCACCCATTTCATGGAGGGCAATAAATAGTATATTAAATTGGACCTTCACCAAGAAAAGAAAGAAAGAAAAGAAAATTGGAGTTGTGTTCCTGCTGTAATCTAGAGCAAATTAAACTTATAAATCATTGAGTCTTTCTCTACCCCTAAGAGTCACCCATTCATCCACCAGACAGAGTGAAGGTCAAGGAAGGTGTCAGGGACTCTGTTAGATGCTTCCTGTGCATTTTTCATTAAGCCTTCACAACAACCCAGTGATTTCCCTATTATTATCCCCATTTTACTTATGGGGAAACTGAGGCTCAGACCAGTTAAGTGTCTTGTTTCTCAGAGGCTACAGATGAGCTACATCAGTAGGAACCTTCCTACCCTGTATTCCTGACTTTTCTGCTTCCCACTTCATCCCTTAGGTCCTAGAGAGACCTCACTTTTCCAGACTCCTTCTGACAATCCAGGTCCAAGTTCTGTGCCCTTTGGTGTGTTCTTGGGGGCCCTGGATGGATTGCATCACACCCGCAGAAGACCGAGTACCTTCCTGCCTCTTCTCCTATGGTTTCTGTGGGAAGAGACCGGCCTGCCTTCTTCTAGAGTAACATCCCTAGAGCCAGGGAGACTGTGGACAGGTGGTAGCAGTTGAACGATGGACTGACTGACTGACGGAATGAATGAATGAATGAGTACATGTGTGAGTGAGTACACCTGTACCCTCAGCTTTTCATAAACACTTCTGCCCACCACCCAGCCCCCAGCCTCCTGTGATGGGTCTGATTCTTCCTTACCCAGGGCCAGGCCTGCTGCTGGACCCTGTAGATACAACACTGAGTGGGCCAAGCCCAGGAGGCCATTGCTGTTGAGTACCCATGCTGGAGGGCTGTGTGCCATGCTAGGGGAATTCGGAGTGGGCGCAGAGCTGGGGGATAGGAATATTCAGAGACAATATTGACAGTGAGGCCAGTAGGGTTTGGTTAGTCCATATAAGTTTCACTTTGAACGTGAAAGCCATCATAATAATGTAAATTATGTCCTTGAGAATCTAGGCTGACACCCCTGCATTCACGTGTTGATCAGTGGTCAGACATGTAAGATATGTATATATATATATTTTTTTTTGGTTTTTTGATTTTTTTGAGACGGCATCTCGCTCTGTCGCACAGCTTGGAGTGCAGTGGCGTGATCTTGGTTCACTGCAAGCTCCACCTCCCGAGTTCGTGCCATTCTCCTTCCTCAGCCTCCTGGGTAGCTGGGACTACAGGCGCCTGCCACTGTACCTGGCTAATTTTTCGTATTTTTAGTAGAGACGGGATTTCACCGTGTTAGCCAGGATGGTCTCGACCTCCTGACCTCATGATCCACCCGCCTCGGCCTCCCAAAGAGATATGTATATTTTTATCTGAGGGATGGTTTGTTATTTGCCAATGATATCCAAATATTTTCCAGATCACCCTTCCCCTTTCCTGCTGCACTACCTGGATCTAAACTTCCTCATCCAGAACAGGCCTTAACTCCCAAGGAGGCAGGAAGAATTTGAGGTCAGGAATGGAGTCAAGCTTGTGTGCTCCTTTCACAGGGCCAGAGCACAACCAGACTGAAAGATGAGAGAGGCATTGAAGATGCTTGCAAGGGATCATTTTTACTGCCTTCTAGAGGTGTTGAGGAGTCGCCTGTCCCCAGGCCCCTAATCCGGTCTGGCAATCCATCACCTGCACTGAGGCCTCCAGACCTGCATGCACGGGTGGTTCCGATCTGCCTAAGGCACTCGTTCCCTTCGACACCTGACCTAAACAACTCCACCCGCTTTGACTGAACCTCCCTTTGCTAGGCTGAGACCACTTTACTCTGAGAAGCCTAAGGGCAGGTCAGGTTATGGGAAGAAGATGGACTTCTGGAGTGAGTAGAATTAATACTTTAATGGAAGGTTTCTGTTTCAGCATTCTTGAAAAGTGTGGAGCTTCATTCTCTATGTTCTTTTTGTAATCCTGAATGGTGTAGACTGCCTTCTTGCTCTATTTGTAGTTGACTACTTTGATTTAAAAAAATTTTTTTCCTTTTTGCTAAAAAGAATAGACTATATTGCATATTTCAATTGGAGGAAATTAAAGGCAGTTTGGTATACTGTTTAAATAATGCAACATCTAAGAAAGAAGTTGCAAGGGGAGGAAAAGGGAAAACCTAAATAATCATTTGCTATGCAGTTCTGAAGAAATACTTTGCTTCTAGTCTTTTCTTTTTTTTTGCCATTCACTATTGCTTTAATTTCTCTACAATGCCCTGCTTAGTATATATAATAGGTGAAAGAAAATTTGAGACATAAAAATTTAAGAATCTATAACAATAATACTCTTTTATTAGCAAGTTTATTTTTGTTATCATTGGTAAGAATATTTTCTTCATTTTCAGGTTGAGAATGTGTAAGGCTGTTAGTACGCATA